TTGTACAAAAATTGCAGGGTATACTAACAAAAATACGGTCTTTAAAAGCATTTTTATTTACTTTTAAAAAAATTACCCTAAAAGTTATTTTTAGAACGTTTTTTCATTATTAAATAAAAGGGCTTTAAAAATATTTTCTCGAAAAACATGTAAACTGAGATATAAGTTGAAGTATTTTTATCCAAAAATTTCATAAAGAATAAAGGCGTTTTAGAGTTAGATTTTTACAGTGGTTGCAAAAATTATGGCCAATCACTTATTTTATCCAAATATTAAAAGATATAGAGGGTGTTCCATTGAAAAAAACAAACATTTGTAACTTAAAAAATCTCCAACTTTTACGCGGTATAAAAAACGCCCTGTATAATATTTTAAAAAAAATAATTTAATTGTAGCTTAGTTATACTATATTCTATAATTATACTAATATTATCAATATTTTAATTCTTAATGTTGTTATTTAAATAATAGCAAATAAGCGAATATCTAAGCCCGGAAAATGTTATAATTATAACATTTTCCGGGCTTAGATATTCTCTTATTTATAAAAATATCGAGAAAAAAACATGTAACGATTTGTTGTGTTGTTGGGTGTTTTTCGAGAGGAAATCCTGGGTTGAGTTTTAACCGGTTTTCCAATAAACAGTGGAAATCCGAATGAAGAAATAAATTGCATAAATATAAATTGATTCAGTAAAAATTATATCACAAATAAGTCGTCTAAATTCAAACAGCATTATGCATTATTAAAAGTGTTGATTAGAAAGTCTCCACTCAACGTTAAAAGACTAAAAACGGGTATTCTATTATGTTGCCATGAATTCCTATAGATATATTTTGTACGTTATTTTAAAATGCAGTTGTCGGCGTTTGTTAAAAGACTCAAATATAAAAATGTTTGATTTTAAGGTTGTTTGTACAACTATTATTTTTGATAATTAATTTTATTTAGAGACAGTATAGGTATTCACCTTTCACTAAATTTACCTAACGCTTAATTGTCAGTTATTACAATTATGTTAACAATTATAATTGTATAATTATATTGTAACTTTGACAGTTACCTGTTTAGTAAATGTAAAGGAAGGTGAATATATATATACACAGTTAGAAATGTATAAAATTTGTGTTAAAAATTATGCGTGTTAAATAAAAAATGTAAAAATGTACATAAACTTCCTAGTGTTTATAACATAAATGATATAGGTATGTTACTTGATACAAAAATTATAATAATTAAAATCTTAAAATTTCAAAGGATTTAACAAATATTAATGTGTTAAAAGGTCCTATACAAATAGGAATGTTAAATAATATTTTTTTGTACATTGTAGTATACCTAATAATGTTACGAGAATATTATGTTAATTTCAATACATTAGTTTAAATAACTTCTAAACAAGTGTTAATCTAACTGAAAAATATTTGAGTACAGAAAATTTTTAATCAAATTAAAATAATTGAGTATTTTTTTGTATTCAATTCAACTTAAATATAAATGCTATTCTTCTAATTCGCTAATTTTCGCCTTCTTTCGATTAAAATCGGTACCCTGCAAGGCCCTTTGTCTTCTAACCGTGTTTAGTCGGTTGATGATAGTTAATTCGATTTGAGTTTCCTATAGGAATTATAATTGTGCTTTTATATAGCTTAGTTATACTATATTCCATACTTATAGCATGGATTTTTATTTTATTTTGGAATACAAAAAAAAGGACTGGACTGTGCAATTTTAGTGAATTCCAATACTTCATTGCTGGCCTTTTTTGAAAATTATGTTGTAGTATAAAAAATCATTATTATTACAAACTTGCAAGTTTTATTTTTTGCCCAAAATCAATATTCTTTATTAAAATAAATAAAAATACACAATTAATAATATAAAAGTTAATTAAAAAATATTGTTAAAATAACAAATTAAAATAATGAATAAATGAATACATACTATTTGTGTAAAATCAATAGAAAGTTATAAGTTAAATTTAACTTAAGTAACACTTTTTTGTGTAAAATAAATAAAATATAAATAAACTTAACATATTTAATTATGTTAAAGTTAAAAGTTAAATCATATTAATTATTAATTTGGGTTAAAATAACCATTAAAAAGAAAATTGACACAATAAAATGTTAAATTAACTTTGCAGTTATGTAAAAAAAATAATAATTTTCTTTGACACATTTTGTTGTCTTAAAAATTAACATAAGTAATAAAAATCAAAAAAACTAAAAAAATTGAGTGGACTTTCTGGGACACAAGAAATTTATAATGTTTTACTGTGTACTGGCCCTTAAACGTTTAAGAACCATTTAACAGATTTTTAGATTTAATATGAGAAGATATAGAGAATCGAAATACCTTTCAAATGAGGTACAACAAGCCTCTTTTGGCACTCCTATCAATTTAACGTCATAAAGTAGCATACTTAATATCCTTGACAATGGTTTTCTGAAAATTCGTATACGCATTTAACAATAATTATTAAGGATTTTTACTTTTGGGTCAAACTAAAACGACCAGTTTATAAAGATAACTTTTTAAGCAATAATTTGGGAGGATTAAAAAACAAAATTACTGATTAATTAAAAAACTAGATTTTTCGAATTTGAATGAATTTAAAATTATCACGAAGTTAATTATTAATAAATTGTTAATTTTATTAAAGACCATCAATTATCTGAAATTATATCTCCTTTTCTGCGTTTGGATTTATTTTAATAACCTAAAAAAACATTAAAGAAATGTAAATGCATAAATAATAACCGATACTTTCGCATTTAAATAATAATTAAATGCTGTAAATGATTTAACAAGGTATTTATAACGGAATTTATTATTTTAATGCCTTTTAGAGAGAAATGTTCTTTGTGTTTTTAATGAAAAATAATTGCCAACTCGTAGGTAATATATTTTTATAATTACTATCATGACTGGAGTACCTACAGTCAATTTGTATTTCTATGTAAAAAAACTCCGAACTGGCTGGAATGTTAAATACCTCCCCCCGGGGGGCTTTCTGCCCTTTAAAAAGAAAAAATGAAGTTGGTGTCATTAAAAAGTAAAATTTAGGCAACACATTGACTGTATTGACTGTATTGACAGTATTGACTGTATTGACAGTATACTGTATACCTATAGGTAGTATTACCAAAGATAATACTACTTAATATTACTTCGAGACATCTTCCATATGGGTAATTCTACAAAAGTTGGGCAACTTTTGACCTCATTTTAGTTTTCGGAGAAAATTAAACAGCATTTTGTTATGAGAACATAGATAATATAATAAATATACTGTTCCAGACCGATTGGAAAATATAAGATTAAATCTTATATTTTCCAATGAATATGTATTTAATTATTTTATTGCAACTGAGCATATTATACATTAAATATCTTAAAATTAAATAATACCACACATCAGTGGCGGCTGGTGGATTTTGGGTATACCGTTATCTCAATTATTAGATATGGGACGAACACCAAATTTATATGGGTTTATATTATAAACTTTATAATGACATTAAATAAACAAGTTCTGCGCAAGCAGAATTTAAATTGAATTTTGCGAAAAAAAGATAACCGAAACATCGAACATGGAACTGACGACACAGTACCTACTGATGAATGGGATACAAATTTGAAATTATAATTCGGAATTAAGTATTGTACTGATATTTTTTATTAGTGGATGCTACTTATCAACAAATCACATATAGCCTTATATAAATTACAATGAAATATATATACGTTAGAAAATAACTACTCACCACATATACTGAAATTTTGACTGGAACTATAAGTGCATTCACCACAAATTCGCCGCTTGCATTGTTTTCAAGATGACTGTCGTGCAAAGGGCGGGCTCTGTAGGTAATTTTTTACCAAGACTTGAGTTAAAACAAGGACTTGACGTTTAAACTTTAAAATTTCGCAGGAATTTTGAATTTTAACATTGGACACAGAACTGATGGGTTAAAGTAAGTACAAAGATTATCAATTTTTAAAAAATTGCCATTATTCGAATCTATGATAAAATATGAAAAATAGATTATTTAATGTTTTATAGTTTGTAGTGAAATTGAAAAATTTAAGATAAATTGAATATATTTTAAAATAAAATCACTTAAATATTTGATTCAGGAGTTGTGACACGCCAAGGTACTGATGTTTTGAATATTTATTATGTGCTTTTGAAAAAATACATTAAAATTGGGTGGACAAGTTAAAAAAAACCTGGATCTTTTGTAATATACCAAAATATTTATAAAAAATATTAAAATACCTACTCTATAGAGTATATTGACTGATGACATCAAGTCTGTGGGTAAAAGGCATAAGGGGATAAGTCAAAAAAAGCAATTTTTTAGTAGAGCCTTAAACGTATTCGCATTAATTCAGGAAACATATTTATGGTTAGCGGGTATACCCTTTTCACTGAAAGAAATATATACTAAAGTTAAATAAAAAAATAATTAGGGCAAATATATTTTATGTTTCATATATAGACTACCACATACATTGCTAAAACAAATATATTTGTTTGGTTAGCAGCCTATTGCTGCCCTAGCAATATAAATGGTGTTTCTAGCAATATTTTTTTGCTGTAATTCGCTTATAGTTTACATTTTATAGTAAGGGTAAGTTTATTTTTATTTAGATCTAACATATCTTCTTTACAATAAATGTATTACAAAATTTACCATACCTTCATAATAAACAGTAGTATAAATGTGTAAAGCATTAGTATAAAATTTTTAGTATAAATTTGTATTTACTTTTAGCAACAAATTTCTTTCAGTGTTGTTAGCCCATGTCATATGCTAACAAAAGCGAATACCCGCTAAACATAAATATATTTCCTGAATTAATGCGAACACGTTAAAGGCTCTATTGAATAATTGCTTTTTTTGACTTATCCCCTTATGCCTTTTACCCACAGAAGTTGTCCAACTTTTGTAGAATCGCCCATATGTATTTTGAAAAATATTTTTCTTACCTTTATGGGCTGTGTGAAAGGAGTTGCCCGATGATTGTTGAATGTGGCCGGAAGCGAAACGTCCGATCGTGCTTGCGTGCGAATACAGGGCGTTGCCGAAAGTGTGCGTACCCGGAAACAGAGAGTACACCCCGTATTTCCCGATGCCTGAAACAAAAATTTAAACGTTATTATTAGCATAAAATATTATGAATTAGTAAGACACTTTTTAAAAATTTTAAACCTGGCTTACTTAGTTTTTATATACATATATACTGCAGTATTACTAAATTTAAAAGTTCGTGGTTTAAAAATTTCTCTTCCAATGAAAATCATTTTGAAAATGCTTTTAATGCATACATTAAACAATTAAATGTTCGAATTTTCCCCGTTGGTTTCTTGACAGTAAGCACACTCAGAAAAATGTACATGCACTGATAATGAAACTAATTTTGTAAGCGATTAAAAAATTAATATTATTTACCTTAATTTACTTAAATTTAAAATTGTAATGGCTATAAAAAAATGTACCACCTAAGGTTCCTTTTTTATTACATTTTCAGTGTCTTATTGGGATAAAACCCTACGATTTGTCAAAGTAATGAGATTATTTTTATTTACAGAATAAACTTTTTTAACTGTTAATAAAATTCTTATTTACTATAATGAAGCAGCGATGTTGAGCTTTTATAAAAAAATTGTTCATCCGACAAATTAATAGTTGATATCATATTGTCATGGCAATAAGAAATACTTTATGTTTATATTAAATCTTTGTCGAACTTAAAATGTTGTTGTTAAATCTATAGTTGTGTCAATCCCGAGCCCATTTTCCAATCCCGGGCCTTTCGGGACCAAAGGTAACTAATCCCGGGATCCCGGGATCAGTCCCGAAAAAAAAATATATCATTAATTTTAAAACCAATTTAAAATAAAACAACAAACAAACTAACGAACGATATCTTTCGGACTTCACACTAGTTGGAAAAATGGTTTTCAAGAATTCGTAGGCACATTGTACCCACGTTTACCCCCATTAACATATAATTCCATTTCTTTTATTAATCGGGCCTTGGTGAGTTCCAATTGGGGCTGTAACTTACATTGAAATTATTAAGTTTGTGACATTTTTTCAGGTTTGACGTTTGAAATATGTTATATTATAGGTTATGTACTTACATAAATTTATTCTACAGTGAACTGTAATTTTACATTTTCTTTGCTGATTTTATGCTATAGATGGAACCACTCTTGCTATGTAATTTTAATGTATTTTCATTATTGTACGGCGGTGTATAATAATTTGAACTGAGTAAAACAAGGAAGTGTTTATATATATGCTTATGAGTATTATAATATAAAAAATGTCATACGCTTAAAAAAAAGTCTATTTTATTCTTTGTAAACTATTACTAAGATCCCGGGATTGGGACTTTTAATCCCGGGATTTTCGGGATCGGATTTTTTACGGGATCCCGGGACCCCGGGATTTCGGGATCCCGGGATTGACACCCCTAGTTGTGTGTGAATTGCGCTTCCATAAAGTAATGCGCAGTTGTTATAGTAAAATTTGTTTATTTTACTATGGCATATTTGTCTTTTTTAAATTACTATCGTTTTTATTCAAATTAATTTTTTTTATTTCAGTTAAAAAATCTTTGTTAATATCTTACGTTAAGGACAATAACAAAAATATTTTATTGCTATAAAAAGACTTTTTTAATATTTACTATTGTTTTGCAATGGTAACATAATTTTTGTTATTTTCCTTAAAAAGAGGGGGAAAGGGCCAGCGCTCTCCTTGGTGAACTTAATTTTATAATCCACAGTCTGTGTTATAATGTTATTGATTTCACTTGTGCGAATGAAGTGTGGTAAAATCTGGCATGATAAAAATATCAAAAAGATCAAAAATAAAATTAAAATTTCGACGTTTTCTAAAAGAAACATTTAAGGTATATTCTATAAACGATCGATTCGAAGCAGACTTGTTTAAAAAGTAAGCTCATATTTTTTTTATTTTGTTAGAAAATTTTTGTACATCATATATGAATTAATTTTTTTGTTATAATAAGTAATTTGTTTTAATTATTTAAAAAAAACCACCCAACACCCAACAGTAGGTTGAAAATGTGACCATTGTTACAATGAAAATAGTTTATTGAATTAACAATTAATTTGTTGTTAAATTTACATAAATTTTATTAATATTATAAAAAAAGTTTTATTTTAAACGAAAAGGGATTTGTAAAATTTACAAAATTTCTATGAATAATACCATTAGGGTTTCATTTATACTACAAACCGTTTTTGTAAACGGTATAGAACTGTTATTTTTGGACAAATAATAATAACTATATTTATCAATGCTTTTCTGCATCTGGAAACATGTATTATTTTTATAAAAATATTTATCTACAAACGCTGCGTAAATTTACTTTGCATTAATTAATGCAAATGCTATTACTGAAAGCAGCGTTTGAAGATAAATATTTTTTATAAAAATGATCTTTTTGCCATAACAAAAGCAATTGTTGGACGAATAGGGATCTTAACTTTATTAAGGGCAGGTTTATCAATGTCCAGTTAAAGATTGCAGTTAGTTATCTGTTAGATAATTTCCATGGATACCATTGTTCTCACAACGATCGATATGAAATTTAACTGTCAGATAGACTAACTGGAACTTAACTAGAGATTGATAAACCGGGCTTAAGACAAACTACTTTTTTTGTTAATTTATTTTAATTTATTAAAAAAATTTCTGAGTGCACTGATGTTAGAAATATTCCGTGGCTGACTCGTAATATATAAGCATAAACATCCCAGCCTACGCCGACTGTACGGTCTTTGTGTGCGACCCAGGATCACAAGGTTGGCACGTGGAAGCTGGATGGTCTTCGTCAGCGTTTTAGAGGAGCACACAGTTGCTTAAAAATATAAGCGGCACTCTTTAAGAAGCACTCGATAAATTAAGACATACGTTGTTATTGTTGAACTATTTGATTTTAATATAATTGTTTTAAACCAAAAAGACTTTATTTCTTACAAATCAGAAGTGGGATTTATCTACACGTTAACCCTACAAGAGTTTTAAGTGTTGCGAAGTATTGCATTATTATGTCGAAACCCGACGGAACCACTCCGCCAGTGTCCCCATCAATGAGTGTTCCTGTCTCTGAATCTTCAAGCGATTCTTCCGATGTTAGACCATCTACACCGCAAAAGAAACAGAAGAAAGTGAAAGCAAAGGCTCGACGCAAGAGAAGTCCCTTATCGAATACATCGAGCAGTTCTAGCGATGACGAGCAGGAGACATCGAGGAGACAGAAAAAGCGACGGGCAATTAGGGGTAATGTACATTTCTTCGGTACGAGTAACTACGGAGAAGAAAAGATGATCCCCGTGTTTGACCCGCAAAAGGCAGACCAATCAATCGAAATTTGGGTGCGCCGTGTTGATGAACTCGTTAAGTGTTATAAATGGGATGATTTGACAATAATTAGATTAGTGACAAATCGATTAGTGGGTATGGCTCGAAGATGGTACGATTCACAGGAGCAGTTAGCGGTGAAGTGGAAGAAAATGAAGAAGTTGTTGGTAAAGCAATTTACTAAACCTTTACCATTTTCCAAATTGCTAAGAGATGCTGCCACATACGAAACGCAAAGTAATCAAAATTTTAGCGAATATTGCTTTAACAAGTTGGACAAGCTAAGAGCTTTAAAAATTAAAATCCCTGAAGTTTATTTAGTAGATGCTGTTATCGGAGGTATAACAGACGAAAACATCGCAAGATCCGTTCGTTCCTCGCGCTTTAATAATACAAATGAATTGTATGCTTATTTAAGTTCGCTGGGCAACATGCCAAAAAGTTTTAAGAGTGACGGGGGTCGTAAAGCATCTAGAGTCGAAGAAGAATTTCAAGAACAAAAAGCGACTACTAGTGGAACTCAGCAAAAACAAGTTAAGTGTTTCAATTGTAGAGGACCTCACCGTGCAAGGGAATGTCCTAACTAGAGTTGAGATTGAGCGAAACCAAAGACAGTTAAAGAAAAAAGGCAAGTTTTCAAGTTGGCAAGGTACTGTTGCAAGTTTGTGAAAAACTATTGAGGTGTTGTGAAACCGTCAACAGCAATCTATCAAAAAGGATATTATGTGTATAGAATACACTGTATATTCGGTGTACTGCCGCGAATTATCAGCGATCGTGCAAGTGCCATTACGTTGAAGACATTTGGTCTATTTTGTGAATCATACGCAACCCATTTATAAAAGAAATCCAAAGTTTTCTTAGTGCTGCGTTTAATTAAGATAAAGTAAACATCACATTAACCATGACCAGCGCAAGCAGAAGGAACGTTACGATAAGTGTCGATGTAAATCATCACGTTTTGAAGTGGGTGACTTAGACGCGTATTAATAAGTGAAATTTCTACCGGGTCCACCAAAAAGTTGTTCCACAAATATAGAGGACCATTAAAGTTTTAACGGCAAAAACTTGTGTATGGTAGAGACTGATAAGATGAAACAGTGGTTAACGATGATTAAAATACTATGTACTTATTTTTAGGTTGAGATGACAATTTAAGCCGAGACTGCTTATTTGTCGTCGGGAGAATATTTAGGCCGATACTGCCTACTTATTCGGGATTGAGATGACAATTTAAGCCGATACTGCTTATTTGTCGTCGGGAGAATATTTAGGCCGATACTGCCTACTTATTCGGAATTGAGATGACAATTTAAGCCGATACTGCTTATTTGTCGTCGGGAGAATATTTAGGCCGATACTGCCTACTTATTCGGAATTGAGATGACAATTTAAGCCGATACTGCTTATTTGTCGTCGGGAGAATATTTAGGCCGATACTGCCTACTTATTCGGAATTGAGATGACAATTTAAGCCGATACTGCTTATTTGTCGTCGGGAGAATATTTAGGCCGATACTGCCTACTTATTCTGAGATAACAATTGAAGCCGATACTGCTTAATTGTTGTCGGATTGGATATTTAGGCCGATACTGCCTACTTATTCTGAGATAACAATTGAAGCCGATACTGCTTAATTGTTGTCGGAGTGGATATTTAGGCCGATACTGCCTACTTATTCTGAGATAACAATTGAAGCCGATACCGCTTATTTGTTGTCGGAGTGGATAATTA